TAGCTTGGCCTGTCAGGTTCAGTGGAACACTTTGTTGCCCTGCACTCCCACTGAGGGCTTACCTGGCTGCTATCGTGGGAGGATGAGAACACTTCTCACCACTGTGTGACAGAAAGGGATAGAGGACAGCTTTAAACCATGGAGTTGACATGATTTAGGAGTTTCCAAAGTGCCATAAAGCATACCACAAACTAGAAAATCCAATTATTCCTTTAATTTCATGGCAGGCTTTCAAACTTCTCGTGGAAACTCTTAAACACCTTTCTTTGAAAACTTAAAATTGGAGACTGGAAAATTTTTTCATCAGAGATGGTGCTAGAAGCTGTTAGAGTCCTTCGCTGTTAGAGTGCTTTGCTGTTAAGAGTTCTTTCCAAATCTACCACGTGTTTTGAGTACAAGCATTTTAATAGAAAAAAACTCGTCACAGACAAGGACATTCTTCAAGGTTACTTCAAGCAGGTAAAAAACTGGACCAGAGCCAGAAGCAGGAAAAGCACTGTGTCCTGCTGCTGACAGTGTTTTGATTTTATATTGTCAGTAACAAATTACTCCCCATTTTTCACTTGACTTTTTAAATTAAAGGAAAAATCTCCCACCAGCACATTCTTGACTCTTTCTTCACAACTGAGATTACTAATCCAAATAAAGGGAGTAAACACCCCTCCACAGACCAGGTTCCTTGAGTACCATTTTTTACAATAAACAGTAATTATAATCCATAACAGCAATTTTATGAAAAAAAATCAGGATTAAGACTAAAGGCCAATTATTAAAAATAAGACATATATCAAGTTAAAGCTGTGAGCTATTACTTTCAGAGAACTCCGTTATTTGAAACTAAGCTCATGGTTTGTGCTTAAATGGTGCAAAACTTAAGATCACATACTCCAAGTCAAAACAATGAATATATTCACACTGAGTATCCTCAGCATCAAGAACATAACTGGCCATTTCCCAGCTCCTGCAAGGACCTAGCACAGCTCTTCTGGAGTTTTGTTTCTCAGCTTTCTTTTTTTTTTTTATTGGAGGGTACATGACAGGGAGTGGTTTGTTCCATGCCTCTTCCTTGTAAGGAGTTACTTGTTGTAGGACTCACTCAAGTCACTTTGTGAGTAACTTGCAGGGTTGTGAGGAAAGTCAGTTCCCTTTTCCCAAATCATGGTGTCACTTCCATGCTACACATTTCCACTCGCTCTGTGGGAGTAAGACCAAAGCAAAAAGGGGTTTTGGAAAGCATGAGTAAGTGCACGCTTTCCAGCAACATTCAACAACAATCTGAACACCCAGTCTGCAAATCTCATGAAACACTACAGACTGCTGCAAATGGCACTGGAGGCTTTGACTTCAGTACCACTCATGTGGTCCATAGAGAATATTTGGAGTCATTATTGCAGGTAAGCTTAGGACTTCAGCTATTGCATCGCCATAACGTGACTACCTTTAAATAGGAAGATGCTGCCAGCACACCACTAAAAACAAAGTTCTGAAGTAGCAGAATGGATCAAATTTTATTCCTGACTATTACACTTGTGGGGAGGAGGGAGTGAAGACACCTTCGTTTGTAAGCAAAAAACAACTTTCTAAACGTGTTACTATAAAACAAAAGCATCTGAAGGTTTGAGATGCGCTTTTTGAGAACAGCTTTGCAAATAACCTTTCTAGTTTACCATGTGCTGTTACTGTAAATAGAGATACCCAAGTATGTCTGTTGCACATATTTTTGCAAGGGCAAATACATGCCACAGCACACCTTTCATATGCACTCAGCACTAAATGCACGTTAGTGCACTGTCAATATGAAATAGCCACAGCAACGGGGAAAACAAAAACCTGTGAACTCCAACTCTACCTCAACTTCCTACACTCACAAAAAACAAAACCTCAAGCCAAAGAAGAGGAGTAAGATAGCATAATAGGCTGGAGCTCAGGTTAATCACAAGGACAACGGGTTTGCCTGTATATACCTTTTGACCCCACAATCATCCCTATTTATGCAGACACACATAGAGATTATTCACCTTCCTGCCCAGAGGGAGCTAAGAGGCAGGAAGCAAGGCTGCTGGGCAAGTATCAGTGTCAATTATTGGTGCTTTTGTAACATAAGTGTGCCTGCTTTGGGGGTATTTATGAATTAGGCAAGAAATTAGCACAAAACTGTGTGTGCATTAAACTGTCGCCTGCTGTTCTTAACCAAATATTATCAAATTAGCAACAACCACACTTCCCACTGAAGGCTGTATATTTAAATGCTTTAAAAAATCAAAAGCTATTTTTGGATTTATACAAACCAAAAAAGGGGTTGGAGCTGTGTTTTTTCAAGGAGGAAATAAACTTTATGCCCAAATATTTGCTACCTCTGTCAAAAGTGGATGACTGGATTCTCATTTGAGTTTATAGAGACTAATTTTTAAAATAAAGAACCTTGAGAAGTTACATAAAAACCTGAGGACAGAGTTTCTTTCTCTGAAAGACTAAAAGAAACTGAATACATATGTGGGGAGTAGAAATGCCATCTCAGATATGAGACTCTCTGAAAATCACTGACCAGGTCAGGCATGCAAGCTTAATGGAGAAAGCAGGCTTTAGTCTGAAGACCCTTGTAGCAAAAAGGGTTATTTACAAAAATCGTACAAGAACAGTGTTGTTTAGAAGATGGCTAGGAAGAAGAATAGAAAACCGTTCAACAATACACTGAATAAATTATTGCACTTATTAGTGTAAGTTAAAACATTAATCCAGTCCTCCACTAAGCAAAGGTATTAGCACAATTGGAAGCAGAACAGACTTGATGGTCCATTGGTCCCTTTCAGTAAAGTAACTTGTGTTCTAGGATGTTTGCCATAATACATAAAAGCCAAAAAAGCTGAAGAGTGTGGAATTAAACAAAGACATGGAGCAGGTAAAATTCAGCCCACGTTAACCTGTCATTCCAGAGGACAGCCACAGGGTTCAGGGCCACCAGCCCAGTCTTTTGGTTGGAACAGTAACAGGTGCTCCTTCTGTACCTACCATGCACGAGAATTGACAGTAGTATACATTATTTATTAGTATACCTATAACTCCCACAAAATTGAATACATATATGAATATCAAAGAAATCTGCAGTTGGCAAAAGAGTTTCAATACACAGATAATTTATATGTAGGTATTTTTTCTTAAAGCAAAGTGCGCTACATATTTAATTCTACAGTTTCATCCTTAATCAGAAAAGCTGTTTCTTGCCTCTTACTTTAACCTTCAGTTTTAAAAGATTATTCAGAGTCACAAACAATTCAAAAACTGAGAGTTACTGCCTATTTAGGACTGATGCTGAATCACTGTAAGATTTATTAAAAAACAAAAGTTGCAGTCTGTGCGCACTGTCCATTAAGCAAGAGCAGTTTAACAAAATCTCTTAAGAGCTAAAATTATAACCAAGTTTTGTCCACCAACACTAAAACCAGCATCAGTTTAAGTTTACTAAACTGAAACCCCCAAACAGCAGCCTGTGTTAACATTTGCAAAATAAAGCAGGGTGGATTTCAGTACATTTGTTACAACTGGACACAATGAAATTCTCATTTTGTAAGGTGAACTTACATTTCAAAATTTCATAATACAGAAACATTACTTGCATTATATATGTAGTAGTATACCTCAAACATGAACAGAAGTCTAGAGATATAACATGAAGATAATCTCCTAAAATAACTGCCTTAAACTAATCAAATTTTCTGACAACACCCTTATTACCACCTTAATTGATTTGAAGTTCTTCACTTGTATCCCAGTGAACAATTACTCACATAAGTAGTCTTTACTTACTCACATAAATGGTGTCTACAAACTTTAGCAGGGTTACTCCTGAAAGTAATAGCTCACCAAAATTCAAAGTATATAGGTCTTTCCTTAAAACACTTACAGAGAAATTTAAATGAACACTTGGAATTACTAACCTTACTTACTAGTTCATGATTTTTCCCAGCGTTACCTGTATCAATTCTTAAAACAGAGGGGCCATAAAATTTTAGGCAAAACAAGTTATCAGCAATACCTCATAAATAATAAGAAATCCAATAAAATAATGAGAAAAAAACTAACAAAAAAACCCCTTAAGAGAATCTAGGATGACTGCTCAAAATAGCTCTCCCCCACCCCTAAAAAACACACTTACACACACACAGGTAATTACTGCTTAGAGATTTTGGGGGAGGAGCTTATGTCCAGCAGTCACCCAACTCAGGGGAAGACCAGATAAATACTCAAGGGTGGCACTTGAAATCATCAGCTTCTGCTCACTCTCCAGTGGCAGAACTCCTCCTCAGTAGAGGAGGATTCACTCCTCTGCCACTCTGCATTGGAGCTCCACAATGGTATGTCACTATTTCATTTTATTCTCTTTGGTTTTGAAGGTAACTTCTTCAGGATGCCTGTTTTCTGTCTGGGGAGGGAAGAGGGCTCATATTTAAGGGCCAGTGACAGCATCCTCATTGCCACAGGGGCTCTTTGTAAGGTTTCAGCCTTGGTGAGACTTTTGCCACTGATGCTGAAGGAACCAGGACTTCATCCTTCATTTGCTACAGCATTAGACAGACGTAGTAAGATCATGGAAGTGTTTATGTATTTTCACTGAAAACTTTTCTTCTTTTCAGGAGTTTTGGTATATGGAGCTCCTGAACTTACTTTGGAGGTCTAGTTAAAATAGTCACTCTTTCTGAATACTATTGTCTTGAATAGGCTGCCACAATCAAAATTATTCTTTTCCTAAGAGTGAGACTATTGTCTCTAATCTATCTATGCAACAGCTCCATCCTTCAGAGTGACAGGAATGCCGATTCCCTTTTTCTTAGAGCACTTTCCAAAACTAGTGAAAGCAGACAGAAGTAAGAGCAAAATATTGTTACTTTTAATACCAATAATTTAAGAAAACTCATCTATTCATGCTCCAAAACCAGAGCTAAACAGCTTTTCTTTACAACAAACTTTCTCTACCTTTTCTAACACAGAACAAATTTGGAAACATGCATTTACAAGTATCTTTACTGCTGCTGTTTTGTCTGAACATTGTCCATGGTGGTGATGGATATTATTCTGAGCGATATCAGAAACAATCCAGCATCAAGGGGCCACATTTTCTACCATACAATGTAAAGAGTCAAGGTAAGTTTACTCTTTTTTCATAATAAACTAACACAATTATTCCTAGAGGTTCAATACATGAACAAAGGCTCTCTGCTTATACTACTGATATTCAAATTTCACTAATAATTTAGGTTTATTGAAATAATTTTATTACTGCAGAAAGAATTTACAGTGGCTCTGGAGTTACCTCCTACTGACAAAGATGCATGCCTGTCAGACAAATGTTGTACACAATAAACACCAAAGGCATATAGAGTAGAAACAAAGCTCCAGATCTCTGCTTCAATAGTGGGAGTAACACAGCATAATTGTGTACATAATGATATACAACATGGTAATAACAAATTTCTTGATTCAGCACTGGGGTTTCTAGCAGCAGACCTGTCACCTAAAACCTACCTACATTCAGGAAGAATTTTTACATTGTCATGTTATCTGTACCCAAGACAGACATTAGGTGTGAATATATGATACACATGGGCAAATGAAGACTCACTTAAATCCTAAAAAGACGAAATAAATGTACAAATAGTTGTACAAATGGGTCATAAACTTCCGTATAGTTTTTCATGAGTGATTTAAGCTTATGTTTTAATTGTCAGGATAAGCACAGACTAATATAACAATTCTAGCTTTAATCTATTTTTAAAAACCCTCTTCATTGCATAGATCAGTCTTATGGCAGCTTGGATAGGCAATATGTAACTGCAATGCTACATTGTTTCATCTTATTTCTGGTTATCCTCTCTGTCCCTTTAAGTCAAACAGGTGGCTATCCCTAATGTTTGAAACTATTTGTTTTATTTTTCCATGCTTAGGCCAACATCTTTAAAAAACTTGAACTCAAAGATTCTGATCCATAATGACTATTCAAAATTGTTATCACTAAAATTAAGAGTAGTGAACCTTCCTTGTAAACATCTTACCCCCTGAGAACAGCATTATTTTGTTTCAGACATTATCAGGCTATTCAAAATAGCTTTATTTTTTTTGCTGCATCCCATCCACTTTTAGTTGTAGTAATCACACTTGGGCGGAAATGAGGAAACTGAATGAGGGGCTCAGAAAACAGCATTAGCAAATAAGCTTCTTTTCTCCAGAAAAGGGACATGGGCAAATCTGGAGAGCAGAATTGCTGTTCAGGGCATTGCATCCACATTACCTTCATTCAGGGGGTTTTGATTCAGAATAGCCCTGCAGACAGATCCTAGGCACTGTCTGATCATGAGCAGCACACATGGAGTCCAAAGAAACTCTGGTCTCATACCAGCTGGTGTCAGCACTGGCCCCATACCAATCAGCTCCAACTCACATGCTCCAAGAATCCCTGCAGTGAGAAACAAGTGAGAGCAGAATGGCTGGGAACCTTACTCCCAAAATACTCTCCCGGGCTGTACCAAAATATTGTCATAGTTTTATCCCTTGTCTCCAGCACAAGGACTTCCTGGAACCCTAGCACTCCCGGATCAAATTTAGGTACATGCACGTACAACTAGAATTCTCACTGAGTTTAATGCTGCATTTCCTTCTTTCTTCCTCATTAACTTTTCTTGTGTTTTTCCATGAGTTTACTCAGAATAATTTACATATTTATAACTCTTTTTAACTGAAGTATAATATTTACTTGGCTATTCTCTACCATACTTCACCCACTTCTCCTAATAGTGGTTCTTCTTTCCCCCTCTATAGAAAACATTTGGGAAGAGGGAAACTAGCAACAAAGAAAGAATCAGGGTAGACAGAAAATAGTGTGAAAGGGGGAAATGAATTGGCCTGAACTAAGTTTTCACTTTATATACAAACACAGAACCTAATGTGGGTGAAAATTCATATTTAGAATGAGAATGATTATATCAAAACCTGAGAAGCTTAAAATGCTCTCAGTTTAAGAAATGTAACAGAAGACTAGACCTCAATAGCAGGAACAGCCTACATCTTTAGAGACATGCAAGTCCAGTCATTCAAAGTGCTTGACAAATTTTGATTTGGTGAGCAAGCATTGCAGAAGGACTGTTATTCCTGAGTCTGGAAAACAAGTACCATATAGAGTTTTTAGAAGAATTTAAAGAGGGAAGGCTGCTGAAGATCATCACTTCTAATCTGAGATGATCTCAGAAGAATAAAACAGGAGCCTACAGAACCAAATAAATCCAGCTTTTGTCTAGTGAGTTGTTCCATTTGCAAGTATCTGAAGTAGCAATGGTAAGCTTTTCATCATAGCTTACTTGTCCAATTTGATCACCAAACATTGACTTCTACAGACATAGCTACCAATAAATTATCTTTTTGCTTTGTATAGCTTTGTCAAAAAGCAGCCTGGAACTGAAATTTCAGTCTAAACCCAAACTGGTGAGTCAGGACAACATAAAATAGACCATACAAATTCTGTTGGCAACTAAAGCCTATTAAAGCTTCATCTAGTTTGGTGAAATTGTTTAAAAAACCATGGTCTTGACAGCTCTCCAGAACATAATTTTTTAACTAGTATTTCTTTGGCTTCAAATATTCGAAAAGCCCAAGCTGAAAACAATAATTGAATGAAGTGTCACTATTCAGCAATGCTTAAATAAGACAATACTGCCGGTAATGTTAAAGTCTACATATTTAATTCAACACATATATGAGGTTTGATTGCACTAGAGAATGTAAACCAATTTTACATCAAGGTATGTGCTGAGACATGTAAAAGGGTAGCCAATCAATACTTCAATGTTCTTGGTATAAATTCTACTTCATTAATAGATTTAGCAGTCCTTTCCTCACAGGAATAACCACTGCTTTTAGGCAGCACAATTAAAATTACAATTATAATCTAAAAGCAGCACAACTTTGGAACAATACGCTCACAGAAAATCTCTACAACAACATGAGTGTGGACAATGCCTTTAGCATTTTAGGCAAAATTGGCAGGACCCACCACTCTGTGAACCTAGGACTGATATCTGCATTTAAAATATGGTAAAAGTAATAAGGAGATACACTCTGAGCTAAAGTCTGATGCAATTTGCCACCAAAAAACCTCCCCTGTCAATATATCATAAATAAACCACAGGCCATGCTTGTTTAGGATTTTAACAGCTGTGTAGGATTTTAACAGCTATCTTCCTTTTCACGGCCTTAAGACGGATGAGATAGGAAGATGTGCAAAATAAGCTGATATGCATTTGTGCTCATTTTATGCATCAGCAGAAAAGAAAATGCATTCTCTGCATCTTCTAGATAAGAACAATTTCCCTGTCAATACAGGAAGAAGGTAACCTTGCAGATCCAATAACAAGCCAAAATCAAATGTATTTCATTTTCATAACCTCTATTATTTAAAAAAAAAACAACCCAATATGTAGAATAATAGTTTCCTCCTTCACCTCACTTTTGGCTCAACAAGACTAGCCACATATTGGAAAATGCAGTTTATTATCTAAAAGGCAGCCAAATAGTCATGGTATAAACTTTCATGTGTGTATATGTATATGTAATACATACACTGGTCTTTTCAGAGACTGAAAGGAAAAATTGTAGCTGATGCAATTGTTGATCAATTTATAATATTTGCTAAATAAGCATTCAATAGAATGTGTTGCCATTATAAAAAAAACAGAACTCAGGCTCTTTTTGTATCCTTCAGTTATTATTTTTAAAACTACTTCTTAAATGAACATCCATCGCAGGTATGTCATTTTGTTCTATACTGCTGCCACTTGTTGCAAACTGCTGAAGTAGTCTCACAGTCTCTCTGTGTTAAACTTGTATGTAATGTCCAACAAATCAGCATGCTAATTTCAACATAAAGCTGAAGGCTCCTCCAAAGCACACACAAACAAAACAGTGAGCTTGTTTGCTTATTGCTCTATTTGTGACATTTGGTTAAGTGGCTCCACCTGCTGTTTTGGTAACTAAGAAAATGAAGTAGTACTAAAAATCTCTATAACAATGCCAGAATTCTGACAGCAATAAAATGAATTATCAGTTGTGACCTTGCCATAGTATGAAATTTTTAGTACAGACGAAGTCTTTCAGACAATATCTGAAAATATAACATTCATATCTTTACAAAAGAACTAGTGCCATGGGCCACTTTTGGAAGTAGAGTGCAGGGAAGAACAAAATTCTCACTACTTAAATGTAGAACCAAATTGTTTCTGAAAAGCTGCTGCACCTGCACAGACAGCTTCCTGTGATTTCATTCATCAAGTCTGATGACCTGTCTGGGTTGTTTTTTCCTTATTTAATAGTCTGCATCTACTTGCACAGCACTTTTTAAGCTCTTTGATGACCCTGAATGTATTGAAACAAAAACAAAACAAAAAAAATTCTAGAGCCCCTATATCTCACATTTCCAACAAATTTGCATTTGTTACTTGTAAGGGCTGTTAAACACTTTTACTCTGAATGTCAGGTTCTCACTGACAAACACAGCAGCTGAAACTTGACTTTCATGAAGTTGAAGTTAAATTTAACCCTTCATATATTTTACCGCCATACTACATTGCCTGCAAATATGTTGTAGATGCCCTGGTTGATCTGGTTTCCTCTCTCTCACAGGTGTGCAGGTAAGGGGGGAACAAGGACCCCCCGGTCCCCCAGGCCCCGCTGGACCAAGAGGACAACCAGGTCCTGCAGGAAAGCCAGGGTTTGGAAGTCCAGGTCCCCAAGGCCCCCCTGGTCCCCCAGGACCACCTGGGTTCTCTGCAGTTGGAAAGCCAGGAGTGCCAGGTCTACCAGGAAAGCCAGGAGCAAGAGGACTAAATGGTGAGAAAGGAGAACCTGGACCTGCCGGACTCCCGGGAGCAAGAGGACCTCAAGGGCCCCCCGGCACTCCCGGCCCTGCAGGACTCACTGTCCCTGGCAAGCCAGGACCGCAAGGCCCTCCAGGAGCTCAGGGGCCAAGGGGACCCCCTGGTGAAAAGGGAGAGCCAGGTATCCCAGGTATAAATGGACAAAAGGGAGAAAATGGATTTGGAATTCCAGGCCGCCCAGGTGGCAGGGGTCTTCCAGGCCCACAGGGACCCCGGGGTCCCCCTGGTCCTGCTGGGATAGGGAAGCCTGGTGAAAACGGCCTGCCAGGCCAGCCAGGTCTGAAAGGTGACCGAGGTTTTCCAGGTGCACCTGGAGCAGTTGGTCTCCCAGGTCCCCAGGGTCTCCCAGGTGAACCCGGAGAAGTTGGCATTGGCAAGCCTGGACCAATGGGACCACCAGGAGCAGCAGGTATCCCTGGAGCCAAGGGACATCCTGGACCTGCAGGGTTGCCTGGATCCCCAGGACTCCCAGGTTTTGGAAAGCCAGGATTGCCGGGGATGAAGGGACACAGAGGGCCTGAAGGTCCTCCTGGCCTTCCAGGACCTAAAGGAGACCAAGGTCCAGCTGGTGTGCCAGGAGAACCAGGACCGATTGGGCCACCAGGGAACATGGGCCCGCACGGACTCAAAGGTTTGCCTGGTGAGAATGGCCTACCTGGGCCCAAAGGTGACATGGGCCCCGCAGGCCACCCGGGATTCCCAGGGGCCAAGGGGGAACGAGGCCTACCAGGATTAGAGGGAAAACCGGGATACCCAGGTGAGCAGGGTCTTGCTGGTCCTAAGGGACACCCAGGTCTCCCAGGTCCAAAGGGAGATACAGGCCCTGCTGGGCTACCTGGGCTGCCTGGTCCAATGGGTCCACAAGGAGCCAAGGGAGTGCCAGGGACCAACGGTGAGCCAGGCCCCAGAGGGCCTTCAGGAATACCTGGGATCAGAGGTCCCATCGGCCCCCCTGGCCTGCCAGGAGCCCCTGGTGCGAAGGGTGAGCCAGGAGCACCAGGACTGCCAGGCCCAGCAGGCATTTCCACGAAAGGCTTAAGTGGACCCATGGGACCACCTGGACTCCCCGGTCCCAAAGGCAGCAGTGGTGAGCCTGGCTTGCCCGGCCCTCCAGGTCCTCCTGGTCCCCCTGGCCAAGCTGTAATCCCACAGATGCCCGAAGGCTATGTTAAAGCAGGAGGAGTAAACCAAGCTCTGACAGGGATGCCGGTGTCTGCTTTCAGTGTCATCCTCTCAAAAGCCTACCCTGCGGCAACTGTGCCCATCAAATTTGATAAAATCTTGTACAATAGGCAGCAACACTACGACCCCAGAACAGGAATCTTCACCTGCAGGACCCCTGGACTGTACTATTTCTCCTACCATGTACACGCAAAAGGAACAAATGTTTGGGTTGCACTCTACAAAAATGGTTCCCCAATTATGTACACGTATGATGAGTACAAGAAAGGATACCTTGACCAGGCTTCTGGCAGTGCTGTCATCGATCTCATGGAGAATGACCAAGTATGGCTCCAACTGCCCAATTCAGAATCTAATGGTCTCTACTCCTCTGAATATGTTCACTCTTCTTTCTCAGGTTTCCTGTTTGCTCACATCTAATATCCCACTTACCCTGTCCTGACACACTCTCCTTCAGACCATTTTAACCAGGCACTGCTCTGATTTGTCCTTAGCAGGTCATGCAACTTCAATGTTGCAAGAGGAATGGAGGAGGGAGTGAGAAAGTGGAAGAGAGTGGTTCAAACATAGTAGAATAATATTATATGTTTTTAGAGAATTGTCATAAAATAATTGTTTTGAATGATGATTAATTGTCTGACTGAATGCAACATAAAAATTTTATGAATTAATATAATGCACCAGTGTCTGTCCTTTTTTCCTTTTTTTTTTCTTTTAAGAGGAAAATCAGAATGTCTAACTATCACAACTCATAACACAATAAAGGATGCTAGATCATACTTCACTATACTTTAATTAACTGAAGGCATTTTATTCCAAGTAAATGGTCTCAAATACACCACAGCCACCTCAACAGCTGGACAATACACTTCAGGAACATTCTACCTCCAGCTTCATCTTTAAGCTATCCAACAGGAGACAAGAATTACAACTCTAATAGAGTGCATATCATAAACACAGTTTTCAATTAGTTCTGCTGTTCTTATTAATTACTAACTACCTTGGAGAAAGGTGGATTTACAAATTATTACATGTTACTGAAGACCTAAAGTTTCACAATGTGAAAACGCAACCAGATTTGAAGCCTAAAAATCCACTCGGCTTTCTTTAATGCACATTGATGCAACAAACTAGTTCAATATTTTAAAATCTCCTAACATTCTGTAACATTCAGAGTACCATAAAGTAACATTGACCAAATTCAAACCTTAAAAACACATCCTCACAAGCATACAGACACTTACAAAAACAGAACAGCTTTACCACCCCAGAACTGGAGATAATCCTTGCCCTGATTTTTCCTGAACAGTTCACTCCTAAAACACAATAGTGCAGGGAATATATTTTACTTATTTGGTAAATTTATCAGATGATGGCAATAATTAGTCAGTTGACACAACCATATTTACCATACAAACATATCTCACAGAAAGTTGTCATTTCATCAACTTGTTATGCTACTATGACAAGTTAATGAGTTATGAAACCTTAACAGTTTGATCACACATTTCTTCCAGTGACAGTTGCCATTTATGTGCTTTAAAAATACTGTATACATCAAAACCTTATGAACCCTTAAATCTACTATAGTTAGCTTTTTTTTTTTTAACAGAAGCTTTTAATCACTTGCACAGAAAGTATGTAAAATTATCTTTATAATACTTGGTAATACACCGGAATTAATAAAAAAGCTAGGATACCTTTTGCTTGATGGTTGATCCATCATTAGCAAAACTATATAATGTTTTGGAAACTGTAAATACCCATCACGAAAGTAACTTGAAGAATTTTTTTTCTTCCTTCTTTTAAGTGCTGCTGGATAAGGAAACCTGTAGTTTAGGCTATAATTCAATAAAATAATAAATGAACATTAGTTCAACAGCACTTCCCAGTATTTAAACACAGCACATCCTGCTGCCCATCCACTCTACCAACCTGGAACTTTTGTTTCAGAAACAGAGAAACTAGATATGGGAGCTGGAAAATAGTAGGTTTTTGGTTAACTAGTTCACATATGAAATCTATGCCAATGCGCATGCTTGAAATTGTTGGAGATGCTTGGTGCTCAGCAGCTCAGGACCACACTGACCTGTGATTCCAATTAACTTAGAAGAAACTGGGCCCAGGCAGCATTCTTAAGAGCATAGTTCACTAACCCTCATCCATCCATCCATCCATCCATCCATCCATCCATCCATCCATCCACTTCAAATCAGGTTTTGTGCTTTATGTCTTTGTTTCTCAAAGTGGGACTTTAAATAAGTCTACAGCTTGGAATCTCATGCTTGGTTTTTGAAGTCTTTTCGTATTAAGTCTCTAAGAAAGCAACTCTTAAAACTGAAAAGCTAGAGATGATACAGCAAACTGTGGCAAAAGCACAAGTTATACTTTGATTTTAGCTTTGGATTTTCAGTTTAGAGGGGACCTTGGGAAGGTCTGTAAGATTTTTAAGTTTGTTTTTTAATATTTTCTCCACAAGAGGTTCAGCAATCTATCTAAAGATAAAGCCCTTCCAAAATCACTATTTCTTCTGCATCTTGGATATTAAAGGAAAGAAAATCCAACATGAGATTCAAATGAAAACTTAAGAGCCCGTTATTGTACAAAATCACTCCCAAAGAAGTACTGAAATTTCTGAAGTCTTAAGTGATCAAAAACAAGAAGCACCCAAACAATCCCTTCTGTATTTACTTGGAAAACACAGTAAAGAAATGTAACAAATTTACTTTTCACTTGCTTCTTTGGTGCAGTTTTCACAATTAAGACAAATAAAGATACCTCACTACTGCTATTTTGGCCAGAAAAGCATCTTTGCTTTTTGTTCCTTACATCTGAAGTTGCATAGTAAAGAGAAAACATACACTTCACAGACATCTGGATTCATTATCTTCTGCCAAGACCATAAACTTGTGATCAAAAACATGTATCCTAACAAGCCTTGTTATGGGCAATTTATGAAGTCTCCTGCCATACCAGCCATGATTTTTTTACTTTCAAAATTAAATACAATCTTATAAACTGATTGAAAATACTACAAATATATAATTTCAACTATACAGCCACAGATGTTACAGTTTCCAGAAGTGTTAGAAAAATTACAGGGAAAGGCAAATCTTCTGGAGTGAAAGTAGCCTTTAAGATAAGAAATGTTACAAAATTCTGCTTTAAGAAGCTATATTTGGCAACATTTCCCTAAAAAAAACCACTGATTTTTCTGTAAAAAAAAATCATCAAATTGAAAATTTTTCACAAGGAAATAATTATACAGTACTTCAAGCTCTTACTAATCCTCTCAAGAGCACACTTTGATTCCATAATACATCCACATAGCTTGACAGTGTAAAATACATTGCCTCATGATGTCTTCTTTAAAATTGCTCTTTAGTACTATCTATAAAACATCCACTAAATCAAACACAGTCAAAATAAAGTTAATCACCTTACAGTCACAAACTATTCCAGTAGTAAGAATAAAGCATTGAGAATAAAATGGATTCTCAAGTAATGTAATGCTTAGCTGGGATTGCAGAGAGCTCTCTTGCAGGTATTACTAGGTAAGAAATGACCACATTGCAAATATCTGTGCTCATTACTATCTGACACCATGCTTTTCTGACAGTATTGTTTCAAAGATTTTCCTTTTTCTTTTTCTTTTTTTTGAAATATTTTTTGAGTTACTTTTCACAACAGAATGTCTAAAATAACACAAGACTATTTGGGAACCCCCTTCCTTTTGCAAGCCTCAGTTCTTCACTTTTTTCCGAGGAGAAGAGTGGGTTAATACTCTTCATCAAGCTGAGTCAGGACAATCATGCCTATCTGAAAGAGCCATCCAAGAAAAATATCATAGGGCAATTATCTAAGGCAATTACCATAGCTAAGACAATGAAAAGCAAAATCCATCAGACACCTGATTATGATCAAAAAAAATCCTGTGAAAAAGAGAAGGGACATAAAGACACAAGGGCATACTGACAACAAATCAAAGTGAACTGCAAACACTCAGTGGATTTTAAAAAATAAAGCAATCAGTCGTTCTGCTCCGCCACTGACAATGGCACCACTAGGACGGCGTTTCGAGTTGGGAACTTTGCGTCCCCTCAACCGACCACTTAATGAGTTTGCCTTTGAAATTTTACCTTGACTAACTGTTAATGAGCACTGCTTTTCTCTGAAGAGTTAAACCCTCTACAAGACATGGCGTTAAGTCAAAAGGCTGTGGTTTTCAGGCCAGATTCTGGGCTATGATAGACACTGTGGCTTCCTGGTATGTAGATGTTGGGATCCAGGTTTGAGAATTTCCTCAGGAAGTTATGTGAGATGTGAAACTGAGAAAAAAAAAAATCACTTTGTCAGCAGTGATACAAGATTAGTACCCTTACTCTTGTATCACAGAGGGATCTGAAGCAAAAAGAGATGCTCCATGGGAATATCACTGGTAAGTGACACAGGAAGAAAATATCTCTGGTTCTTCTGACTCCCTGTTCAGTGCTTTAGCTACTGGACTATGTTATTAAATGGAAAATAAAACCACTATGAAGCCTTTCAAAGTGACGCATGACAGAGTATATAACTTCCTTGTATTACAATATTTGAGTAGTACATATAATCTGTATTTTCACTTCTGATATCACTGAGCTTAAAACTTGTTCCTGTCACTTACTAGACTTTCCTGTATTTTTAACACTCTTATGCATGCATGTGCCTGTGACAGAAGCTAGAAAGGATGAAGCCATATCGCAAATTTTGTTTGCAGATTCCAGATTTACATACAGAAATAGGTACCTGATTGATAGGTATAAACATATATGTCCAACTGTACACACAAGCAGACACATGTAAGTAAAACTGAGCAATTACTTGTATGACTTCAAAATTTAGGCTTTTTTTTGGATCTCATTAATTTCCAAAGAACACTTTTAAAAATTATGCTTTTTGTTGCATGACCCACACCTTTTTTAAAAAAAAAGAGCCGTCACAGTTTGAAGAAAAGAATTAACAAAAATTCTAAAAAATTATTACAGTTGATTGGTGTTGATTTTGTATCAGCAGAAAAGAAAGGATATATTTATTTTGTGTACAAATGAGTTCCCAAGGAAATTCAGAACTACCAGCCACACTCTAAGCTCCAATGGAAACACAGTAATAACAACAAACAAAGCAGTTTGGGAATATCTTGCTGGTTTTTTACCATTTGCATCCTGGTATCAATTTCCATTTTTGCTTGGAATCTCTCTGAAACAATTTTGTCAATTACATTTGAAAGGAATACAGCAAGTGGGAAAGCTGAGGTGAACAAAAAGTGAGTTTTAAGAAAGTCCAAACTACACCTTGTGTCTAGTGAATGCTGCATCAACCAAGGTAATTCTAATAGTAGTGCAGAACTCAGAATTGAGCTGCATATAAACATTTTACAAGAAATATTGTTAAAAATAATTTCAATTAACTGCATGCACAAACAATGGTTAGCCTTTATT